GGTGTATTCTACAAACCATACTGAAAATGTTGGTATAATATGTTGATATTTATTTGAATTTATGGCCCCCAAGACCTGTGAACTGCGCACTAGTCATCATCTCATTTCGCCCTCCCGAAAAGAATTCGTCCACAAGCCGAAAATAATACGTAGCGAATGAGTTAAATCGAAACTAACAAACCTATTTTGTTAGCTCTTCATAATGAATGAACTTCCGGTATAAGAGACCTGTTTTCTACTATTGCCGAAAAGTAATTTAATGTCAGAAGTCGTCGTAAAGGAATGTGCCTGCGGCTCACCAGCACTGTGGTTCTCACCGCGAGCCGCTGCGGGAACAGCTTGCCGGAGATAAAGAGTTTAAAAAAGAAATCCTTGATACTGTACTTCTCCATAACCTTTTTGTATACACAGAACTGTCATATCTGCAGTTGCTGTTGTTGTGGCTCCGTTTTCAGAGCATCTTTCTTTGCTCTTCTGCTTGAGTTTTTTGTAGAGAGAAGCTCACGGACACAGTAATGGTCATTTAGGGACAGAAATTACAATTAAGACAGAAGCAACAAGTGGAAGGAAAAAAAGTTGGACCTACCAGTGGTAGCCTACTCTTCAACCACCTGCTTCTTCTTCTGCTATAGCCAAAATGTAATGAGAAATCTGTTAAGATCAAATAATATTTTATTTTTCTCCGCAAAGAGAAATTTGCTATCTATGCCATGGAAAATATAATGTACACGCACAAGTCAACACGCATGCACACACACACACACACACACACACACACACACACACACACACACACACACACACACACACCCCTCCTATTGGTCTCAGAATTCCCTCCCAAACCTCATTGCTCTCAAAACAGGCGCAAACAGTTTAGCTTTTATCACTCCCGCGCTCCTGTGGAGAAGATCAACCCTTGGCATGCCGTCGTAAAAACCAGATGTTGAATCTTGGTGAAATCAGGCGCTCGTCCAAATGTGAAATCGAAATAATTGACATTATTCAGCCATTTGGGCAATTTTTATCGATTCTTTTTTCTACTCAGCTCTTTTCAAGTCCATCCAAAGCTCATTAGTGTGAGCATTTTACTGAAAAACTTGAATCAAAGGCAAAAAACAAATGTAAAGTTTCAGTTTCCACGGACACTCAAGTCTTGGAAGTAACCAAACTTAGATGGCATTGCCACTTTCTCGTTTATTATCAATCTGACATCAAGCGACCGACTTCAATGGCAGCCATTTCGACTTCTTTTCATGAATAGATGAATTTTTTTTCTTTCTAAAAAAAGCGAGACAAAATTAATAAACTTTAAGATGATACCATTAACTCTATAATAAGCAAAACCTAAAAAATTCCGAGTGGTTGATTCTACCGCGTCATGACACACAGATGTTGCTCCCACAGTGCGCACGCATGCGCGTCCCATTGAAGTGTAGTGTGGTGTGAAGTGTGAAGGCTGGCGCGTCAAATGCTGTGAGTGAACTCTCTGCTACAGCTGGTAGTCATAAGACGCATGTCGCCTCCTCTCATTCAGCCGTCCTGCTGTGGTGTGATTGGCTCACAGACTGCGTCACCTCACACAGAATACGCACCACTGGCATGGAGAGTGTACTGTCTACCCTTACGCTGAAGATTTGAGTTCGGTTTCCATGCTGGTCTGGTTCGTTCACCGAGAGTTTGTACTACTAGATATCTAGTATAAAACAGAATACGCACCACTGGCATTGGTAGTGTGTGTATTGTCGACCCTTACGCAGAGGATTTGAGTTCGATTCCGAAGCTGGTGTGATTCTTGCACAGAGAGTTTATCTTATAAGACAGAACACACATTGTTATTAGTAGTACATGTATAATCTATTATCAACCCTTGCCTCACGCAGAAGATTTGAGTTCGGTTCCCAGGCTAGTCTGATTCGCTCACAGACAGTTTATACAAGTATAAAACAGAATACGCACTATCATTAGTTAGTATAAAACAAAATACGCACTGTCATTGGTAAATGTAATGTTAAGCTCTTCGCATCTCACACATAAAGACTGACTTGAGTTCGATTCTCACGTATGCTTTAGCGTCTCCGACTTTTCTGTTGAGACTTAGTCACGCACATAGTAGTTTGGATTGGCTCTGACAGACGGGGCTTTCATGATCTAAACTGAGCCAATTGTTGGGCCGATAATATTTACAGTTATTTTGATTTTCTTGTTCTTTCTTAATGTAGATTTTTTAATGCCCTCATCAACACAATTTTCATCATTTAGGAGGCAGGCTTCGACCCTGCCTTTCAGAGATACGTCTCAGCAGAAAGACCAAGACAGTCGATACAAATTTTCTGAACTCGGGAATCAAACTCGGGTCTTCTGCGTGCGACAGCGAAGCACCTAACCACTACACCACAGAGGCCGAAGTTTTCTGGTGTTCATTACTTCAAATATTAGCCTCGTCAGTTTTGTTCGTTTGGTAAGAGATGATATTTGATAATAAACCAGACATGCATAAAGGTGCAAGAAAAACAAGTTGCATCTCATGCCCTAGTCTAGATCTATAAATAGTTTTTGAAAATAAATAGAACCGTTGTGTGATCCTGTTTACGTGTGTGTTATTTTGTGTCTCTCTTTCTGTGCGTGCGTGTTTATGTGTGTGTGTGTGTGTGT